CTTGCTTCAGTTGAAATCTGCGCTCGCTACTTCTGCGCTCGCTACATCTGCTCTTGCTACGTCTGCGCCCTCTACGTATGCGCCCTCTACGTCTGCGCTCTCTATGTATGCACTCTCTACGACTGCGCTGTCTACGCCTTGCCCTATCACTTTCGTTGCAGATCGACAGAAGAATCTGCGGGAATCAATCCCAAAAGTGTTTGAAGGCTCTTTTCACGCGTATTGCTTGCGGTATTTGACAGATGAGCTGATCAGAGACTTGAAAGGGCCGTTCTCTCATGAGATCAAGCGGTTGATTGTCGATGACTTTTACTCTGCGGCTTACGCCCCAAGAGGGGATTCCTTTGAGAGACATGTCGAGAACATCAAAGGACTTTCGCCGGAAGCTTATGACTGGATCATTCAAAATAGCCAACCCGAACACTGGGCCAACGCTTACTTCCCTGGTTCGCGGTACAACCACATGACTTCAAACTCAGGGGAACCATTTTTCAGCTGGGCTTCTGATGCCAACGATCTACCGATAACTCAAATGGTCGATGTGATCCGTGGGAAAATAATGGGGCTGATCCACGTGAGGCGCATTAATGCCGCCGAGGCTACTGGAAGATTGACTCCTTCCATGGAGATGAAGCTGGAGAAGGAGAGGCTAAAAGCGCAAACGCTTCATGTAGTATCCGCAGATAATAATAACACCTTTCAAGTCCGTGGAGAGACGTACGAGCTCGTGAACATGCAGCAGTGTGAGTGTAGCTGCAGAGGGTGGCAGCTAACGGGTTTGCCCTGTCACCACGCGGTTGCGGTTATCAGCTGGCAAGGACGTGACCCGTACGACTTCTGTTCTAGACATTTTACTGCTGAGAGTTACAGGGTAACGTATTCACTGTCGATAAATCCGGTTCCGTTATTAGAAGGTGAGTTGTGTAGAGAGAGTTCAGGGGGTTCGGCAGTAACTGTAACTCCCCCACCGACAAGGCGGCCACCAGGTAGGCCGCCGAAGAAGAAAACCGCGGCAGAAGAAGTGATGAAGCGGCAGCTGCAATGTAGTAGGTGCAAGGGACTTGGTCACAACAAGTCAACTTGTAAAGACTATCTTCTTGAATGCTAG